ACACTAAAGACTCCACCTCTGCAAAGCCTTGGACCGCAAGGCTACCTGGCCTCATTGCCCCAGGCATCCGCTGCGCTTGCTCCCCACTCCCACCGAGTCACTGCTGAAATGCCACCCCCGAGTGAGGACTTCCCTATCTGCTTTAGAACTGCAGACCCAGGTGTGGCGGTGCAGCCCTGTAATCCCAGCTACTCAGGAAGATGAGGCAGGACAGTCGGGAGTTGAGGAGCAGTCTGGATTACAAACTGAGACTATCTCATTAAAAAAAAAAGAAAAAATTCCAGCAGCACCCCCCTTTACCTGATTTTATTTACTGCTAAGTTATTATGTTTCTGTTTATCACCTATCAGTCCGGGAGACAAGATCTGCTTGATTTCACTGCTCTAACCGTAGCCCCCCCCGAAGAGTGCCTGGCACACAGTAAGTCCTCAACAAATACCGAACCTCCTGAATGGCACACCCGACCCCCTTCTAATGCTTCAACACACCCACAGGTACCTTGAAGTCAAACTGCACGTCCATGTACTTCCCGAACCGGCTGGAGTTGTCATTTCGGAGAGTCTTGGCATTTCCAAAGGCCTGGGAGTGGATGGAAATGTGAGGAGAGCCGGGTAGTTTCTTCTCGTCCTACCCTCTCCTCAGCTGCTGCCATGCCCTCACCTCCAGCACCGGGTTGCTCTGCAGCAGCCGGTCCCGAACGGCACCACCCCGCTCGGGGGCCGGGCAGGTCTCCGCGTAGAACTGTAGTAGTCTCTTGGTGGCCTCCGTCTTTCCCGCTCCACTCTCTCCAGAAATCATCACTGCCTGGTCCCGCCGCTCAGTACGAAGCGCCCGGTACACGGTGTCAGCCACTGCAAACCTGGGGAGAGGTTTGCCGAGAGTTCGCGGGGGTGGGGTGGGGGGTGGGGGGGCACCTACATCTGATTGGACCCCTCTTATAAAATGTGGGGGCGGAGGGGTGGACCTCCACAGCTGAGGATGGGGGCCGAGCTCACTAGCACATGGAAGTCTGAAAGGATCACTCCGGGTGGGGTGCTAGCCAGGTGCAGCATGTTACAACAGTTAAAGGAATAAGTCACGAGGGGGAGCTGGGGTTGGGAGCCTGGGGGGGGGGACGGACAGGACCCAGAGACTCATCTATGAGAACCGAGGTGACTCTGGGATAAGCAATCATGGGATTCCTCACAGCTGTGAAGGGTGAGTCAGTCACCCAAGGCAGGGGTCAAGAATCATTTCGGAGTGGGGGTTGGGTGGGGTCATCTTGCATGACGATGGGGGAGGTCACTCCTGGGAAGGTGAGGGGATCACTCACAGGTGGGGAGGCACTTCATAGAAACTGACTCCACGGTAACGTTCCATATGCTGCCTACTGTAGATCTGTAGGTCTCGGTAGGGGTTGACGGAGACCAGGACGGGGCCGATGTAGGTCTGGGGGACAGAGAACGGTCAGCAGCTTGTCCTGAAGGCTCCTGGTGCCTCCTTCACCCCAGGTCTGTTGCCCCCAGCACCACCCATTCTCACATAAATGAGGTTCTCCCGGAATCGCCTCCGCAGGTTCTCAATGAAGGCAGCCTCACTGGTGAAGTTCTCCAGCAGAACAAAGTCCTGCACCCCCACCCGGTCCCGGGCGGTCAAGGCGCTCTCCATGGTCACCCGCACCCCGTCACTGCCCAGGGCCTGTGGAGAACCAGCCACGAGACAAAGTCAGAGTTTGCAGGTTAAGGCAAGGCCACGTCTCCAACCCCGCCTGCAGGATGTGGAAGGCAGGGACACTTGGCTACAGAACACATTTGGGACGCACGATTGGGTCACACTGCGCACATGGGCCATGCACAAAGCCCACAGGAGCACCCGGGACCCGGCAGACACAGAACGAGTGCATGGAATTCAGAGAGGCGTAGTTTCGTGTGGAGAAAGGTGGGTCATGAGAATGAGCTCCTGAGAACGGAGTAAAGAATGCTGTGTTGACCTTGGACAAATCTCCTTTCTCAGGGCTGCTTTCCTTCTCGGAAGAGGAGTGAGTTAGTTCAGGTGACCTCAAATCAGCTATGTGTTACAGGTGCTTTGGAGGACAAATAGTTCAGGGTGAACTATGCAGGCAGGGACAGGCCATTTCTCCTGCTCCTACCGACCCCAACTCCCCAGGGGTAGAGCTGCTTAGAGACCAAGCAAGAGCCCATCTCCCAGGAGAGGGTTTCCCCATGGGCCACCACCCCAGCTGGACTTACCACCCACCCCAGGAGGGGGGTGGCCTGCCCTCCCTCAGCTGGAGCCACTCCCTGAACTCCAGCTGCTCGGCTCCCCACAGTCCCTCCCCGGTTGAGAAGCCTCAGGAGGTGGGGGGTTCTACCAGGGGAAAACCCAGCTGCCACCCAAGGGTGGGGCAGGAACAGGCTTAGCTAGACCCTCACGCCATGTCCAGGGATGAGGTTTCCCTTTACGGAGGGTCTGCAGGTTCCAGAAAGTGCTAAGAGTCAATGAAGAGGAAGGTATTGGGTGCAGGGAGGTCACTAAGTCTCCCCCGACCCTAGTAGATCAGGAGCTCTCTGCTCCTCGGTCACCCCTAAGAGCCCGGGGCCTGCTTCCCTCACACCTGCCCACCACTCACCCACCCAGCCCGAAGCTGCTGTCAAAACCACGGCCGCAGCCACCGCCCCCTCGTCCTCGGGTGAGGAGTCTCAGCCATCACCAGGGGCGACCCGCATGGCCCTGGGTCCGAGCGTTCTGCAGCCTTCTCCGCCTCGGCCTCCTGCCCTAGCAACTTTCAGGGACGTTTTCCACCGAAATTCCTGGGCCGCGCCTGATGCCTGGCTAGCCCAAGGAGGCGCTGCGGGCCACCGAGCGACACCCAGGACCCCCATCCCACCCTGGCCCCTGCTCACCGACGCCCGGTAGCGCATCCTGCCCGACCTGGCGCCCCGCTCCGCTGCCCGCGCTCTCGGTCCGGGCTCGGTCGCGGCGTCAGCGAGGGAGGGGCCGGCCCGCCCCCCGCACCGCCCCTCGCAGGCCCCGCGGCTTCAGGGGCTCGGAGCCCTCGACCCCGGGGTCCCTCTGCAGCCGGCCGAGCCCGGGCTGGGTGGGAGGGGGCCGCGGGACCTCAGAAGGGGGCGCGCGAGGGGCGGGGCCTCCTGCGTGCCGCGGGCTCCGCCTGAGTCAGGTTTTCCAGGAGGAACGTCGTTAGTTCCAGGGTGGGGCCCGGAACCCGCGCGGCCGCCGCGTCTACACGGCCCCGGAACTCACTTCCGGGCTCGTGTCTACAACACGGGGCCGGACACCCCGCGCGAGACCAGGGCTGAAGCCCGTGGGTCACCGAGGAAGCAGGATTTCCCTCCCCACCCCCAACCTCGAGTCCCGGGAAAGTTAAAAATAGAACGAAATGTCCAAATACGGCCGGCGCGCCTGGACAGGCGGAGCCTCTGTGCGGGACACTGTCCACCCCCATACCCACTCCGGGAGGACCAGCTCCATTCTTGAAACCCCTAGGAAAAAAATTGTTTGAGACACAGTCCCACTACGTAGCCCAAGCTGGCCTGGAACTCAAGAGCCTCCTGCCTCAGCCTCCCGGGTGCTGAGATTACAAACCTGTGCCAGGATGCCCGGGGAGAAAATCTCTGGAAAGGTCTCCTGCCCAGCAAAGAACACAAGCCCTAGGGCCAGGGACGGCAGCAGGGTGCGATCCCTTTTTTTGCGCAGCATGGCCCCTATAGAAGCCTGAGTTTCCTGGGTGGGCAGCCACCTTCTGACTTCCTCGCATTTGCAGCCAATACCTTTATGCTCCATCCTCAACATCCTTCTTTGGGCTCAGTGCCCCAAGGGCTCCTCTCATCTCTCTTCCTTTCTGGTCCCTCTAGATCCCCCCATTCTCTCTACCCAGGCTGTCTCCCCAGTCCAGCTTCCAGCTGGCTCTCTGAAGGCACCAGCCCCTTTTAGGTCCGAGCTGTGTGTGTGGGGTGTGGGGGTGGACTCTGGCTCAGTTGCCACCACTTATGGCATATTGATGTCTAAGGGGAAAAAAAAACAAAAAACATCAAGTCTCTTAACTTCTTAGGAGGCAGACGGTTCGTCTTTAAAATGAGGCTAATACCTGCCAAAGGAATTGTTGGGTTGCCTGAAATGAAGCACTTAGGCACCACCGCCCAAGCCTTCAACACCACTACCCTCTTCCTCTTTCTCCCAGCCACGCTCCTTCTATACACATGCTTGGGGGGTGAGTCCACTCTTCATGTCTAGTGGGGAACCCCCCCGCCCCGTGCGCCTCTATCTGTCACTTGCAAAGGGTTCTCAAGTGTCTTATCTGTTTCTCGCCCGATGTTAAGAACCTGAAGCATATACCGAGGATACAGACTTGTTCTAGGGAGGAAAGGTAGGGTAAGGACCCCAAAGCGCCAAGGCGCCCCACCCCTTGGACGGGGACTCCCTGGGGAGACGGTGCGCCTGCGACAGGTGCTGGCTGCAGCCTCGAGGGGAAAGATGGTTCATTACTTCACGAACAACAGCTCAGGCTGAGCCACAACCCAGGGGTGGGGGAGGCGTGAGGCGCCAGCTGGGAAATGGGGCCCTTTGGAGCGGGCCAGGGGAATGGGTGCCGCAGGTGATGGGTAAAAAAAAAAAAAACAGGGCAGGGGAAGCGCCCTCTGCGATGCCCCGGCTTTAAAAGCATGGAGAGGATACGACTTTCAGCCCACCCCAGAGCTTTAGAAGACTTGGGGCGGGAGGGTTCCGAGTACCCAGCAAGAGCAGGGCTCCTTCCCCTCCCCCTGTGGCGGCCTCAGGGAGCTGCGGCTCGGGCCAGTGGAGTCTGGGTGGGAGGGGCGGGGCGGAGGGGGAGGGGCTTCGGGGCCGCAGTGCCCGCCCC